CGGTCGGCCGGGTTCCCGCGGAGCAGGAAGGTCGGGGCGCGCGCCGCCCGCCCCGTCCTCCCCAGCGCCTCGGAGCAAATTCTCTCTTAACTGGGTAAACGTTTGCCAGCGTTCCTTCTCACAGGGTCCCCAACTGAATATACTTTGGCGCCAGTTTTCTGTTTTAAAATTATAATCTGGGCAGCGGCTAAGTTTTGCGGGGACGGCGGGGCGCGCAGCCCGGGAATCGAAGGCAGCGCCCCGCAGCGCGTGTCCGTCAGCGCCCGAGCGTCCTCTCAGCGGAGCGATACGTACACGCGCGTGTATGCCTGTAGTTACACGTGTGACTTCTTTATTCTGCGCAACTTTACATTGCGTCGGATAAACACGGGGATTTTGCTCCCTTCCTGTCTTAAATACTTTTTAAAATGGGTTAACGCACATTTTTATTGAAGTCATGTTACTTGCTAAGTCCCTGGCTAGGAGTTGGCCGGAGAAAACGAAGAATGCTTGTGTCTGTCCTTTCAAGCACGTTATCATCTTGTAGGAATGATAAGGTCAGTACACTCGCGCTCTATTAAAAGAAACAGATTGTGACTAAATACAAGGGATACAAAGTTCAGTGAGTGTCCTGAAGAGAGAGGCAAGTCTGGCGGAGGAAAGGAGGTCATGAGGACAAGCCTTGCAAAGGAGGTGCGGCTGAGACAGGCACTGAGGGTGGGTAGGACTGCAACCCACGGCGTTCGCAGCGCGAGCGAAGAACTACGCGGAGGAGCTGGAGAAAAGCTCACCGTCCCTTTCAGGACAGTCAGAGGGAAGATAACATTAAATGGAAAAGGTAACTTGGGTGCCTTCGGGTGGCGCACCTCCAGGGGTAGGCTGAGACACTGGCTCTGTATTTAATAAACTTGAAAGACTTTGGGGCAGACAAAAGTAATCTGGAAGCAGGTTAGAGGGGGTGACACTGAGGGGTCCAGAGGCCACCAGGAGCCACTGCGATAGCGCAGGAGGGGATCAGCCTGACCCTGGGGCAGAGGCAGCGAGCGGGAAAGAGTAAATGGAGAGAAAGCAGGGCTGGGCAGCATTGCTGGGGCAGAATCCAGAAGTGCGGGGATTTGGAGGTGGGGAGCCATGAAAGGGTCTCTGATCAGGCTCTGGTTTGGGTCTGGGTGACAGAAGAACAAGGAAGCCAGCTTCGGATCCCCGGGAAATGAGCGAGCGCAGAATGTTAGGATTCCAGGAGGGAGGAAGGGACAGGAGAGAGACTGTGAGCTTGAGCTGGTACTCAGTATTCCTAGTGGCATAAGGCCGTGGTGGGGGTTCCAGACTAAATACTTCATTTCTCACAAATGTTATATTGCTCCCAAAACTTCTTGCCTCTTCCAATTTTTGGATTTTGGTAACTTTTTAAAAAAATTAAAAGACGACAACTCTCTTGATGTATCTGCAGAAAGTGAAAACTCCAGTAACTGCAATTCCTCAAAAACCAAAGTCACTTAAAAGATGCTCCAAAGATAATGATGGGCTTTTTCAATACAATCTATTTGTATTTTATTTCCTCCCCTGTTTAGAGTAAGAGTGGACTTTTGGACACCTCTGACAATCCAATACGGAGTTATTGTCAGTCATGACTGGTCTGTCAAGTACTGTGTCAAGACAGGTCATTGGTGTAACGGTAATGCCCTAAAACACAAGTCTGGATACTTGGGTAAGGACTCCATCTGGACATTGGTACGGGTGGGACCTCTGCCCCTGTGGGCTGTAAGAACTCAGAGCTCCTACCACCCGATGCTGGAGTTTGGCT